CCGTGTCCAGCTCTGTGCTGACGGCTTGGAGCCTGGAGCTGCTTCGGATTCTGTGTCTCCCTCTCTCTCTGCCCCTCCCCCACTCACGCTCTGTCTCTCTCTGTCTCAAACATAAACAAACATTAAAAAGAAAAGAAACTACAAAGGGTCTTCAGGAGATCATGCATTCAGCTCCTCATGATGCCTCTTCTCTTTTCCCTGATAACAGACTACTGGAGAATAAAACTCTAGAGAAATGGTTTATTTTTTTATGTAAGTAGGTTTCTGGCCCAGCGTGGCGCTTGAACTCATGGCCCTGAGACCACGGGTCACACGCCTTACCGACTGAGCGCCCCGGGAGAGGTGTTTTAAACTCCACTCCCCCCCACCCCCAAATTCACAATGAAAGCACTGACATCTCTTGCACGGGCTGGGAGCGGCTGAGCACCAGGGTCACTGGTTGCTGAGCCGCCTGTCTTCAGCTTCAGGAAACGTGCTTCTGTAACAACCATCTGCTAAAAAAAGGGGCTCCGGAAAGCTCTTTCAAAGAATGGAATTTAGGGGCGCCTGGGGGGTTCGGTCAGTTGAGCGTCCGACTTCGGCTCAGGTCATGATCTCACGGTTCTTGGGTTCGACCCCCACTTTGGGCTCTGTGCTCACAGCTCAGAGCCTGGAGCTGCTTCAGGTTCTGTGTCTCCCTCTCTCTCTGACCCTCCCCTGCTCATGCTGTCTCTCTCTTTCTCAGAAATAAATTAAAAAAAAAAAAAGAATGGAATTTATTATACGAAAACAACCACCTCTTATCAGATGCCATGGGGGGCCAGCACTGTGCTGTCGGCATGGGCTCCCGTGTCTCCTGAAGATGTGTGTGGGGGGGGTGCCCGCCTCCCAGCGGAGCTCTGTGGATTCGACCCTTGGCTCCCTGGGCGGAGAGCAGTCTGGGAAGAGTCCCACGCACAGGGGGCAGGGAGCACTTCCCTCGCTCACCCCTTGGGGACACAAGGACTCTGATTCCCAGGGAAGCCCTCCCCTCAGGCGGGGCCGTGGCCTCGGGCTCTGTCTGGAGAGAGCAGCAGGGAGTGGGCAGTTGGGGGCACTTTGAAACTGTAACCGTTGTGACAGGCACGGGCGCCTCCCTCCCCCCCAGCCCTGCTCAGGCTGTCCACAGGCCACTGCCTCTGGGGGCACGGCCACTCATGCCCGGGAGCCCCTGGGAACAGTCTGTGGCTCCGTGTCCACTCCTGGGTGGCGTGCCGGCCGCTGTGGGCTCCACAGGCGTGGGGCTGCCTTAGGCTCCAGCCCCCAGTCACCGCTCGCGGAGGTCACACGCACGGCCATCGTTCCTGAAGCTCCTCTACCGCGTGCGGGCAGCCTGGCCCCGTCTGCCCCTCCCAGTCTCCCTTCCCTGAACTGGTGGGACTGGAGGTTTACTGGCACAGAGTGGGTCCTCTGGCCTTGAGTGGGGCAGTGACTGCCAAGTGTCCTGCTGCTGGGTGACATGACCACAGGCACAAGGGGGGGTTTCCGTGAGGATGGGGGCCCAGAGGACAAGGGGGAGCCTGCGGCAAAGCCAGTGGGCGGGACGGGGAGGGACACCTGTTGCTCGTGCTCCCAGTCGCTCTTGGAAGTGAAGTGTGTGCCTGAGCCCAGGGCTCCCTGGAGGCTGGGAAGAGGCTGCTCCCTGGAGGGCGTGCAGTGACCTTCAGCTTGCTCCGTGCTTTCTTTTGGGGTCTGGGGGGGGGTTGGGGGTTTCACTGATTGATCTCTGTCAACGGGATTGCAATTTAGCTATAGTGGGTTGAGTGGTGGCTCCCCGAACTCCCACCCTAACTCCTGGAAGTTGTGGATGTGACCCTATTTGGAAAAAGGATCATTGCACGTGGGTTTAGGGTAAGGCTCTCCAATGAGAAGACTGCCCTGGACGACCGAGCTGGGTCCTAAATCCAAGGGCGAGCGTCCTTGTAAGAGAAGGGCAGAGGGAGACCTGAGAGACATCGACGGCCGTGCGAGGATGGAGCTGCAGCGAGCAATGGGGCAGCCACACGCCCAGGCCAGCGGGAAGGGGCTGGAAGAGGCGGAGGGCGGAGCCTCTCAAGCTTCCAGAAGGAGCAGGGCCGTGCTAACATGCTGGGTCTGGACTTCTGGCCTCCAGCACCATGAGAGAGGACATTTCTGGGTTTCTTTGGCAAGTTTATGTATTTATTTTGAGAAAGACAGAGAGAGAGGGAGACACAGAATCGGAAGCAGCTCCAGGCTCCAAGCTGTCAGCCCAGAGTCCAATGCGGGGCTCGAACAGTGAGATCGTGACCTGAAACTGAGATCAAGACTCGGAAGCTTAACCAACTGAGCCACCCAGGGGCCCCTAATTTTCTGGTTTTAAGCAGCCCAGTTTGTGATAATTTGTCAGAGCAGCCATGGGCCCCTTGAAGTCCCGGCGGGCGCATCCCCTATTTGAAGAAGTGACATGTTCAGTTTTTACCAAGACAGCGCGCTGGATCCCCCTGGGAACAAGCTCGGGGCCAGGGCCGTGGAGGCCGGAGTGGAGAAGGGCTGGTGTGGCCGTGTCACCCTGCCGGCCGCTGCCCGGGCACGGTCCTCACAGCCCTGCTTCGAAGTCAGGGACCAGGGTGCAGGCCAGGAGTCGGCAAACTCTTCCCGTGAAGGGTCAGGTGATCCACACTCCACTCCGTTTTTGTAGCACAAAAATGACACAGACAACAGGGCAGCACTTTGAGAACCGGCTGCACTTCCAGCCCACAGGTGCCCGAAGCCGTGGGCTTGGTGGGGGCGGAGCTTGGACACCAGGGCACGGGAGGGTTGGAGGCACCTGGGCTGGGGGCCCACCGGGTCGGCACAGGGCACCGGCCTCCACGGTGCCCTGAGAGAATGAGTGAGTGAGGGCGTGCCCTAGCTCTGATGATGCTCACATCAGCAGTGGAGGAACGAACGAGGCTAATGAGATTCTCGGGTATGAGCACTGTCCCCGTTATATTTAACACTCGGGGACACACGCCAGCAGCCCGTCTCTTCTCCAACTCCTGGGAACTCACGTTGACTGTGATTTACCTTGTGAATGAGGCGAGGTGTACCAAAAAGAAATTGACCTCCTTTCATTTGCAGTAATCTTCTAATCGTTTTTTATTTTTTTTAATTTTTAAAATGTTTTATTTATTTTTGAGAGAGAGAGAGGTGGGGAGGGGCGGAGAGAGGGAGACACAGAATCCGAGGCAGGCTCCAGGCTCTGAGCTGTCAGCACAGAGCCTGACGTGGGGCTCGAACCATGAATCGTGAGATCATGACCTGAGCCGCAGTCGGATGCTTCAACCGGCTAAGCCACCCAGGCGCCCCCTCCCCCTTTAATCGTTTTTAGCACCAAATCAGGAGCTATGTATTTCCACCAGCTTCCATCCTGAGAAGGGGTCTCACATCTGTCTTTTCTACAGACCCCAGCATATCCTGAAGCCCAGTCATTCAGACTGATTCCTGAAACCCGCGGGCGGCCCGGGACGGCGTGCGCCCTGCGGTGCTGCCTTAGGGGCTGGGTGGAAGCACAGAGCTAGAGGTCCAGGGTCCAGGGTCCGCACAGCGGAGGGTGGGGGTGGGGCTCCGGGTAGGAAGACAGGCTCGCTCACTACCCTCGGCTCCCAGGTACCACTTTTGCCTTTCGCTCCCTTTCGCCCTCAAGCAGTTTAAGAGAGAAAACGTAAAGCTGACCCAGAGTCCCTTTGAAAGTATCACCTGGTAGCTCCTAGCTCTGGGCCAGGCTGCCTCACACGCAGGGCTCAGTGTCCTCTTCTGTAAAATGGGCTTAAAAGTGGGGGCACCTGGGTGGCTCAGTCGCTTCAGCATCCAACTCTGGATTTCAGCTCGGGTCATGATCTCATAGTTGTTGGGATCGAGGCCCACACGATGGGCTTTGGGATAACAGTGCGGAGCCTGCTTGGGATTCTCTCTCTCTCTCTCTCTCTCTCTCTCACAAAATAAATAAACTTAAAAAAAATGGGCTTACATTTAATCCAAGGATTAAAGAATCCCTGCCCCGGGAAGCACGTAATGATGCTCAGTTGGGGGGTTGCGATTACCGTCGCTGCCCCGAGGCAGCCCTGAGGGTCCCAGTGGGCTCCCCTTAGAACTGGATAGGCCCCCCCAACACACACCCAGAAGTAACCCCGAATCCCGGACTGGCCTGGCGAAGGAGGCCTTGGAGCTCACCAGCAGGACTGACGCAGGCGGCCCGCAGGCGTCACTGAGAGGCCCTGCTCCTCTGTCCCACTGGGTGCCACCTCGGGCGTGGCCGCGGGGCGGGAGCCCACTGCGCTGCCTGTCTGTCCAGAGTCCAGCGCCCGCCTCTCCAGCAGCTCCTCCGTACCTGCACTTGGACGTGGACCAGACGCTCACCTGCTACCATGTGCTTGCTCTGCCCTTGACCCCAGTGGAATTTCTCCTGGCCTATGAACCACAGATGAACTTGCAGAATAGGTGTGGGGGGTTGTGGGGGATCAATCCCTCTCTATCAGCTGGCCATGAGTTCAGTCACTTGCCCTGATGCCCAATTTCCTTGTCTGACAGCGCGCGGGCGCACACACACACACACACACGCGCCTGCCCATGCTCCGGCACAGTGTGGAGTATACACACAGCGGGTGCTGCACAGAGCCAGCCCTGTTCTGTCCCAGCCAGCAGGGAGGGGGCTAAAGATCACACTGACGACGTTCTTCTTTGTGTCCTTCACAAAGTTTAACATGGTCCTAAAGGGAAGAATGTCGGCTCAGATGTTTCTCCCGGATCAGAGCGGGCCGGCGGGGGCGGTGTCGGAGGGCGTCGGGCAGCGCGGGTGAACGGCGGAAGGTCTGACCAGGGCGGTCCCCTCGCAGGCAGGGTCCCATTGTGCACGGTGTCTCGCCGTGTCTCTCCACCGGGCTGTGGGCAGCGTGAAGGGCAGGGCGGGCGGAGCGACGTGACGGCTGAGGGGAGGGAAAGGCTGGGGCCGGCTCGCTCGGTCCTCTTCCGACAACCCCCGCTCAGGGCTGGTGGGTCATCACAGGTTTCTGTGAAACACAAATGCGTGTACACATGGCTGTGCACAGATGGGTATGCACAGAGACACGTGAACACGGGCGTGCACACACGGGCAGAGACACACGTGTAGGCACAGGACTGTGCACACACATGCACAGGCATATGAGCGTGTGCACACACACAAATGTGCACACACGCACAGACGTATGAGCATGTACACAGACACGGACCCATGAGCAGAGAAATGAAGACATGCACAGATACATGAGCATGCACACACAGACATAAGAGCACATGCACACACACAAGTGTGCACACAGATACAAGTGTGCACGCTCACACTAGTGCATGTGCACAGACACACGAGGAAGCACACAATGCACAGATGCACACATGTACACACATGTGCAGACACACTAGCATGCACACACAGACACACGAGTGTGCACACTGAGATGTACACACACGTGTGCACACATGCACAGATACGTGTGAGCACACAGACACATGAGCGTGCACACAGACCTACGAACACACACAGACACACAAGTGTGCACACAGATACAAGCATACACACATGCACACACCAGTGCACGCACACAGACACACGAGGGAGCACATGCATGCACAGATGCACACATGTACACACATGTGCGGACACACTTGTATGGACACACAGACTCATGAGTGTGCACACAGAGACACATGAGCGGGCACACACATGCACCGACACACAAGCTGGCACAAACGCACACACATGTGAGTGTGGACACACAAAGGAGTGTACACAGCAAGACAGACAGACACATGAGCCTGTGGTCAATCCCCTTGGGGTTTTTTTATACAACTTCTCTGCCTCTGTTTCCCCAGATCTGAGGCTGGGTCAGTGGCACTGGCCTCTCATCAAAGAGGGTGTATGGATGGAAAGTATCTGAAAGTTTAAGGCTCTGAAACACAGGGAGGTATATTCTAATTTGAAAGCATTTAGGTTTTCAATCCCTGTTGGCAAGTTTTTTATTAATGGTCATCAGCCCTCTGTCGGGGGCGGCCAGCTCCGGACACAGTCCCAACGCCTCCTTCTGGCGAAGGGAGGGCCTGTGGGGAGCCTCTGCACTTCGCCCTTGTCCCTGCACACGGCCCCGTCCCCTGGTCGGGGAGGCCTAATGACGGCCATATCGCCCCCTCCCTGTCTGCGGGCCCGAGGCTCGCACACAGTTAGAACAGCCTCATCCCTGTATTTGGGCATCGCTATCGTGAGAGACTTGGAAATCCTTTTAAAAACCGGAGATTGTGGAGAGAATAAATCACTAGTGGGAGGCGGGGGTGGAGAGCTGCTGGGGTCGAGGGAGTCTGGGCTTGACTGTGGCCACTGGCACCCAGTCACCATGTTCGTCCCCGGGGCGTGGGCATGACCTTGAAGTCCCAAGAGATCAGCTACTCTGAGCTGTCATAGCGCCATGTTTGTGAGGCTGCTGGGGTGGCCTTGACCTCTGTCCCACGGAACCTAGGGACAGCCGTGACCCCCGCGTCTGCACATGTGGTTTGCTGGATGACCTTCACAGCACCGGTAAGCTGGAGGGGCTATGAGAGTGACCTCACGGTCTCGTGGACGGTCCCCTCCCCCGAGTGTCCTGTCTCTCTCATGGATGGTCCCCTCCCCCGAGCTGAGACCCATCCCAGGGTAAGCAGAGACCCCTATCATCGGTGTATTCTGGTACTTTTAAGAAACTGTTTTCAATTTTCCTTAAATCTTTGCTGATTCTACTTCACTTGTTAGTTTATCCCCAGTTTCTCTGCTCTGCGGTCTTAACATCTGTCTGTAAACAGACAGACCCCAGGAAGCAAAGTGAAGGCTTACTGCAAAGCTGTGGTTGGCCAGTCCCTTCCTGCTGTTGGGGTTTCTCTGTGTCAGGGACCCACGGTACGCTGACTGACGATCGAAGGAGTCACCGTCTTTACCTTCAGGGACAACAGAAGCACATTAGCAGCTGTGCAAGTAAACAGTCCAGTCCCGTTTTGTCTCCGTCGCCTTGGAGTAGGCATGAAAATCCCCCCTCACCGTAGCTCCAGAAACGCTCCCGTGGGCAGGACAGAAAATGCCTTCCCTTTAACTCTGTGATGTGACACAGGCCTGAGGGTCTTGGGACTCTGCCCCTCAGAATGGGGCATTTGGTGTCACATCCAAATGTGGCCCCAGGTGAGCAAATCTGGGGGGGCGGGCAGGCAGACGCTCTTCCCCTCCGGCAGGTATGGCGTGGGCCCCACACACACTGCACCTGCTCCCTGGGGGTGTGCAGGGCGCGTCCCCTCTCTCCAGCCCCGAGTCCTGTGACGTCGAGGCGGCAGCTTGAGATCAGCCCCGGGGAGGTAGTTACACCACGGAAATGAGCATATGCTGCAAAGGGTTATGGGTCACGCGTTGTTGGTTGCCAGGGGGCTGGCGAACCCGTTCATGGTTCCATATGGGGCAGAGTAGGTGCTGCCCAGCTTTGCCACACGTCCCGGCTTCAGGACCAAACTCCAGCGAGGGAACTGCTAATCCGGGGCAGTGAGGACACACGTGGCTCTTCCCACCTGTCCCTGCAGGTGTGAGGGCTGCTGCCTGCATAGGGGGGAGGGTGGGGTGGGGACTGTTGGTGAGAAGCCCCCGCCAGGGCTGGATCTGATGGCAGCAGCCTCGGCTGTGCCGTTCAGACCCCGAAATGCCCGTCAGCTCCAGGGGGCCTGGAGGTGAGGAGTTCTGGGCTGGGAGGCCTCTGGCCGACCAGGGGCTCATCCCTGGTCCTCCCGCTGTAGACGGGGGCCTCCCCAAGCCGTGGCTTGGGTTGTAGCCACGCGCACTGCTGGGAGCTCCCCGGGCATCCACACCCAGGAATTCCAGCTGGGCCCTGGCGGGGGGTCTCTCTGGCAAAGCCGGGCGCGTGGCTGGCGGCTCTGAGCTGGGGATTCGCCCCAAAGGGCCTCAGGACCCGCCGTTCTCTGGGCTGACCTGCCCGTGTCTGGGGTGGAAAGGGGGAGCTGGCATGGAGGTGAGCGGGGTGTGAACAGGGATGTGCAAAGTCGTGCCCGAGGGGGTGGAGGAGAACTTTCTGGGAGGAGGCACCCCGCTCGGCCTGGAAAGGCTTCAGGAGGAAGAGAGGCGTGCCCCGGGCAGAAAGCCCAGCCCAGGCAGAGGCACGGAGATGTGTGTTTGCATAGGGCGCTCCAAACCCCACATGTGCCTGTGAAGTGTGTGTTGTCCAGGGTGGAGGGGACTGTCCCCAGGGCATCTCTGTGGGACAGATAGTGAGGGTCAGGAAAGCTGTGCCAAGAAATTCCACTCATTCTGCAGGCAGGTGGGAGCCAATGATTGTTCAGGAGCAGAGCAGGAACACAAAGAGAGCTGTGTGCCGGCATGCGGCTATGCTAGGGCTGTAATGATGGGATGGTGAGGACAGAGCTCAGATGCAGGGACAACACGACCTGCCACGGCGGTGTAGGGACTCAAACAGCAGAGGAGGGACTGGACCCTGACCCGGGAAGGGGGCCACTTCCCTCTGGTGAGCCGCGGTCAGGCTGCAAGGGGAGCAGCAGCTGAGAATGCGCCTCCCGAGAGCCCAGCCATGCGCCGTGGATGGGGCAGAGCCAGGCCTTCTATCCTGTTCCATCGGGAACAGAGTTGATGTCCTTGTCACCATGGACACATCAAGGCGGTTAAGTTACATCCTGTGCTTTGCACAAGGGGGTGGGGAGCTGTGCGCAGCATTAGATCGATTCACAGTGCAACACCCCCGCCCCCCAAGTTTGCATGCTCAGCCAGCAAGTTCCAGTTATCCAGAGCGCCTACGCACTGGAATGGTCCCTGATGGTGGCCCGCGTGGCATGAGGAGTGTCCCAGCTGCAGGGCCGTGGATGCCGTGTCCCCCTGATTACACAGAAATGCAGAGCCCCCACTGGCCACTTTCACGGCCCTGAGCTCGTCTCCCAGGCCCACGGGGACGGGCGAAGCCACTAACTCTTACTTTGACTTTTCGGGGAATGACTGAACTTCCTTCTCAGGAGATAGGGTGCAGTCATCACCTGGAAGAAAGAAGGTGTCTCTGGGCTTCGCTAAACTGGTATAATTCTCAGCCGCACTGGGAGTCAAATTTGGACTTCTTCTTCCAGATTCCGGTTAATCAGGTCAGCTGTCTCCTGCTCCCAGGCAAGAGCTGAGCTTTCGTCATTCAAATACACGGTGTCCGTACACAAAGCACCGAACGCCAGAGCATAACAGAGATGCTTACGTTGGTCAACAGCAGGGAGGGCACACGTCTCAGCCCTGCAGACCTGGGTTCAAATCCGGGCACCCCCACCCCCGTGACGTGGACGGCTTGCTGTCCTCTCTCTGGACTGATCTGGAAAGTGGGCCAGGAGTCCCTTCTCGGGGACACGGGAAGATGAACTGTTCCTCTCGTGTCCCCAGCTCCCAGCTCTCACTCTCCTCTCACTGCCTCCTGCCGGATCGTCGGCTCCCCGTTTTGCCCCTGCGGGCGTGAGGGCTTGGCCTCACTCCCCTGGAAATCTTCCCGGAATCTGGCGCCCTGGGGTTCTGCCCGGCTCCTCCTGTGGGCTGTCCCTGGAGACCTGCTCCAGAGGCCTTTGGGGCCCGGCTTCCCTGGGCAGGTTGGGGCGCACCAAGGACCCAAGAAGAGGGAGGGGGGTCAGGGCCAGGGCGCCTGGGCCGAGACCCTCCGTCACTTAGAGTCTGCGTCATCTCAGTCAAGCACGTCCACCTCCCCGAGTGAACACCAAGCCTACTCACCAGGCTTGTAAGCCTCCCATGCAAGGAGGGGAAAAGACTGTCCCCAACTGTGAAGGGCCACCCAGTGTCAGGTCACGGTGCACAGAGGTGACTAGGTGTTCCCTACGGCTCCTGGCGGGTGGCAGGCCGCAGGCAGGGCTGGGAACAGCCCAGATTGGCACCTCCAACCGCACCCCTACACCCAGGAGGTCTGGCTCCCTCCCAGGCCTCACCCCTGCCCCGCACACTGCAGCTGTTAATGGTGCTACTGCCCCCATGGTCCTGGTCCCTGGGCCACTGCACACACACAGGCTTCTGGAACCCGCTGACCCGAGTGGGGCCTGGGAGAAGAGCCCAGAACGGATGTCGTCCGTGACCCAGGGGCCCACACGGGAGACTTGGCGCGTTAGTCTGAACCGAGGATGCCTTGTGCGGGGTCTCCATGGGGTGCTTCCCGCCTCTCCCCCCATCCCACCTCCCCGCGCGAGCCGGGGGTCCTGGATTTCCCCAACAAGTGCGTGAGCGCTAGCCCCGTCTCGGCGTGCGCCTGTGGGGCCGCCACCCCTGGCCGAGCCTGCAAGGTCTGTGTGCCTCAGCCCCACCCCTCCCTGGACCCTTCTGGAAAAGGCTGCGCCAGCCTCTTACTCTGGAACGACACATACCTTGACCTCATCCGAAGTCTCTGCATTCGGATCCTTAGGACTCTGGTCGAATCTCCCAACAAGTCGGGGAAGAAAAATCTGGAGGATGAGGAAGAAGCCTGTCCCTGATTACTGCGGACCTGACCCCTGTCCCAGGAGGGCCAGAGACCGGAGGGACAGAAAGACAGGACGGCGGCTCTCTGTGAGCCCTCGGCCAGGAGCTCGGGGGCGGCCCGTCAGCCCCCCAGCCCCCCGCACCCCACCCTTGCGCCCTGCAAAAGTACAACACAGAGTCGCCGGCTAGCTTTGAATTTCTGATAAATGTTTGTTTATAAGAAGGGTCCAAATATTGCACGGGATATACTTACACTAGAAAGCGACATGTCCTTTATGTGAAGTTCAAGTGCACTGGGCGTCCTGTATTTCACCTGCACTGGGACCTGGGGCACTCCCAGGACCACCCTCTGCCCACTTGCCAGGTTTCCCCACCGCCGTCACTGGCCTGGAGACCCCGGCTTGAATCTGGGGAGAGGGGTGCTGGCCCCAGACCTGCCCCACCGCCCCAGCCACCTCCTCCAGTCACACCCAGCTGGGCCCCCCCGCACTCACCGGGAGGTTGGACCTCCGCCGGGGCTTTCCCGAGGGCCTCACCGTGAGCCCCGCAGCCTGCAAGGCGGCAATCTTGGACTTGATGTTGGAAACCTGGGTGACAAAGGACAGGCCCAATCGCCTTCTATTCGGACATCGCGGCCGGGCAAGCGCGGCTGGGGATTCACTGATTTTGTTCTCTCCCCTCAAGACAGGGGTCCCGGGGGGTGTGCTTCCTGGCTTCCTTCAGGGCTGTCGGAGGGGAGGCTGGTGTGCCGGTCACCCCGGGCAGGAGGAGGGGCTCTGGATCTTCTCTGGCACATCAGGGAGCCTGGCTCCCATGGGATGGAAGGAGCAGCAGTGGCCAGGGACAGTGTCACCGCGGCTCCACGGGACACAGCTCCACGTTGTGGCTGGCGTCGGGGGAGTCTGCCTTTCTGGCATCATTTCCAATCCCCACCCCCGGGCCCCAGCTCCCACACCAGCCAGAGGAAACTTCTGGAAACAGAAACAAGGGCCCCTAACCCCTGTTCTGCTCCCTCCAGCAGCTCTCTGGAATCTGCCCTCCTCTCAGACCTGCCTCCCACCCCCTCCCCCTCACTCCTCAGCCCCAGGCTCAGGGGTTCACTGCTGATTCCCGCACATGCCAAGTCCAACAGCACCCCGGGAACTTTGCACGCATGCGATGCCTTGTTCTTGTAATATCCCTTCCTGAGCAGCTCACCTGAGCGCTCGGCCGGCCCACCCTCACTTCCTGTCCACACAGCTCTCTTTGTGAACTGAGCTCCGCGGTCGTTGGCCTGTCCTCTGTCTCCACCCAATAAAGGCGTAAGCTCCGGGAAGACAGGCTCCATCTAAGAACGCTACAGCTGTGTCTTGCGCCCTACACGTGCCCGCCACGTGCAGGAGGTTGAAAATTGTCGGGCAAGAAGGAATAAAAGAATGCAGTCCTTGGGCCGGCCTGTCCTAACGTGCACAGCTCTGCCAGCAGCTCTGGGGACGCGCCCCTTCCTCCTGGGGGGCTGAAGAGCACTTGCTGCTGAGCAGCAGCAAGAGTGGGCAGTGGGTGCCGCTTCCTCGTGCGGCCCGAGGGGCAGACCCTCTCTTCCCTGCGGGTCCCCAGGGGTTGGGCAGCGCCGAGCCCAGTCACCTCGCCGTCCCTGGGACATCCGGGCTCTGCCTTTTGACCTCTGTACGCTACGGACACACCCCTCACCCAGACTCAAGCCCTGGCCCCACGCCCAGGTCACAGTCGGCCCTGAGCCCCACGGCTGTCCCGAGCCTGCTTCTGGGACAGGCGCCGGCCACTTCCTGCAGGGCTGACAAGCCCGCGTGCCCCTCTCCACAGCCAGTGGGACGACGGCCGGGGTGGCGCGCCGGGCGATTCCCACAGAAGCCCCAGCTCCCGTTCCGGCACCCTGGGCGGGCACCCGGCTGCCCGGCCTTCAGGGCCCGCCACTGTCCCTCCCTGGGGCTGGGGGCTACCTCGCTCTCCACCTGCTGAACCTCGGAGGCCGTCACGGCCACCCTGTCTTCCAGCTCCAGCAGCATCTTGTCCGTGGGGCCGCCGGGCTGCACTAGCTCCTGAGGGTCCCGGGGGCTCGCTTCCCGTCTGGGCGCTCGGCCCGCAGCCACGCACACCTAGGAGAGGGGGGCACGGTCATGGCCGCTGGCGGGGGGACCGCGGGGCTCCCCCAGGACGGGCCAGCCTACCACACTCTTTTCCTTTGAACTCAGAGCCGGTCGGCCGGCTGGCCAGCCGGGCGCTGGGGTCGGGGTGGCTTCCTGCCTGGGGCGGGCCAGTGGCTTGGTTACAAACCCTCAACTCCTGGCCCCGCCTCTGCCCAGGTCTTGCCACGTGCGCTCGGGGGGCCTCACCTCCCGGGCTGCCCCGGGAAGGTCCTGGATGGAGGTTTTCCTGTCCAGTCCTGCCTCTCCCCCCTTGCTCCCCTCCTCCTCGGACGAGGCCTCCTGGTCACTGATGTGGCTGGTCAGCTCCTCCAGCTTCCTCTTTAGGGTCTCTTCTTCTCTGTCGGCGTCTGTGGGCTGGTGGCCGGTGAGACGCTGAAATGCACAAGCAGATCTGTGTTCAGTCGGTCCCCTGTGTGCCCCGTGCTCACGGGCAGGGCTCCAGAGGCAGGCTGTGGGGGGTAGGGGACACTCCCGGATGCTTCTTCCCCCTGACCCCAAACCGGGTCCCCAAGCCGAGAGGCTCGCTGGAGGACACAGTCCAGTCCCACCAGGCGCCCATCGTGGCAGAAACACCACATTCCCGAGCAGTGGAAGGCCGGCTAAGGCCACCGTCCATGACGTGAGCTGGGAAGGGTAAGCACGATGCCCATCTTGACACGGAAAGTTCTGGAACACCAAGGAAAAGCTGGGAGCGGTACCAGCAGATAGGGTAAGGGGGGGAGTACAGCAGGGGAGGTGACGAATTCAGCAAGACAAGGGAGCTGCATCTGAGGGGGGTCTGACGTGCCCCCGCCGCCCCCCGTCGGCACAGGAGGGCGCAAGTGCATCATGCCAGGCTGCTTGAAGTGAGTCGTTAGCTGGCCAGAGCCGGGGTCACCGGGGGTCGGCAGGGACCCCCAACTACCTGAACCAACTAAAACAACTTCCTTGTGCCCTGAGTCACCAGCCTCTTGAGTCACCAGAGTCCCTTGGCTCCCGGAGCAGGAGCCGAGAAATCAATCCCGCCCTTCCTTCCGGCCATTATCTCCTCCTGGCTCACCTGGTTTTAAAAGGGACATTTAAAAGGCCCTTGGGGAGGGGAGGGAGCGTGTGCTGTGCCAGCAGGGAATTAGTTTGATCCCCACAGCGCTGAGGGCTCGGAGCAGGCGAACCTGCCCCCCGCCCGGAAAAGATCAGCTGAGGAACGTCAGCGCGGGGGTCTCTGTTAGGACTCGGCCCTCAGTCTGCGTGGTGGCCCGTAATCGAGCCGCCCCCCCCCACCCCCCGACCCCGGTGGCACTGGGTGTCTGGAGGCGGCGATCGATGCCGGGGGAGGCGGGGGCAGTGTCCACAGACGGCTTCTGTCTCCCTAGAGCCATGTGTGTGGGACACGTGGCTGCCACCGCAGGTCCCAGAAGAGTGTGACCCTGACGCCGTCACTGTCTAAGGTCACCGCCGAGTGGAAAAGAAGGAAAAGCATCCCGAAATGCTTGCTCAGGGCACAGGGGGGTGAGTGCACTGCTTCCAGAGACGGAGGGTGGGCACAGGAGGCCTTCCAGCCCGTGTCTCGTAGGACAGTCCTGGGTGGCATCCCAGGAGAGGGGGTCCGCTGCGCCCGAGGGCACGGACTCTGAGAGGCAGAGTTCAAGGCCTCCACATGTCCATCCTGCTGACATTTTCCAGCCCAATCACTGACGGTGGCTCCTCAAAACCCACGCAAGGCAGGGCTCCCTCCGCAAGTCGGCAGGTCGTGTCCTGGGGGTCGGCAGCGAGAGGACGGGGGTTGGAGGAGCCCCTAACCTTTCCTACGTCAGCTGAGGCCGGGGAGGGGCCGGCACCCCCACTCCGCCTGTGCCCTGAAGGTCCTGCCCTGTGCGGACCTGTGGCCGCACTTGGGGTGCCGGGAACAGGGGTTTGGGAAAGCCGGGCCCTTCCGGGTAGCTCCCTGCCCCCCCCGCACCCCCCGCCCCCCAGCAATGGTCCTGGGCGGCGCTGCTCCACCCACGGCAGGACCGTGAGTCAGGTTCCTCCTGGTTGTGAGGGCCTGGAAGGGGTGAGGGGGCCGGGAAGGCCCAAGTCCCCTGCAGAGCGGCCCCTCCCAGCTCCGGCCCCTCCCCTGCCCCTCACATCTGCGTCTTGAATTGCAGCGACCACACTGTCCGTGCACCGCCTGCTTCCTGCCTTTTCTGAACATGCTGAACATCTCATCGGTCTCTCCACCTGGCGGCCCAGGGCTCAGTCCGGGGGTGCCCTGAAGGGAAGCTCGCCGGGGGCCTCCCCGACCGCTCGAACCTCCCGGGGGGAGGGTCCCAGGAGGAGCCCTGTACCTGAGACCGGCCTGGGCTGAGCCACAGTTCAGAGCTCTCCGTCCCGAGCAGGGCCCTCTCTCCCTCACCCACCCCTGGTTACAGGACGGCCCCGGCCTCACGACTTCATCCGTAGGACTCAAGACCTCGTCAGAGTCATTGATGAGTCTTCACCTAGCGGTCACCACGTTCTCACGTAAAGTGCTGCTGCCTTGCCCGCAGCAAAGTGCACTTGCTCAAACCGAAATCAGCTGTCTGTTAACGGGATCGGGTTTGAATTCTGTGAAGGAAACCTGGGTGCTCACAGGAGACTTGTGCCCGATTTTATAAATCAGGGGCTGCAATAGGAGGGAGTCTCACCAGTTCAACAGGTGTCACGCATTTTAAGTTACATTTTCTTAAAACCTGCATGAAGTCTGCTAAATGTATAAAAGAACGGATTATTCTCTCTTCTTGTAAACTACGTGATACCTGACAGGGTACACAGTAAACATTTTCATCACAAAGAATCGAGTACAGGGGCGTCTGGGCGGCTCAGTCGGTTAAGCGTCCGACTTCAGCTCAGGTCATGATCTCGCAGTTTGTGGGTTCGAGCCCCGCGTCGGGCTCTGTGCTGACAGCTCAGAGCGTGGAGCCTGCTTTAGTTCTGTGTCTCCCTCTCTCTCTGACCCTCCCCTGCTCAAGCGGTCTCTCTCAAAAATACAGAAACATTAAAAAAAAATTAAAATATCAGCAGCTTTGATTTCTCTGCCATGACTTGGTGTGAAGGTAGAAAGCCTCCTTCCAGAGAGGTGGCGAGAGCGGGCTCCTCTCCGCTGCCTTACCTGGCTCTCAGCGGGAGCGGGGTCCCTCCGTGTGGGGTGCTGGGGGGCCTCACTGTCAGCCCAGGTGTCCTCGTCGTCGTCGTAGGCCAGACACTGGGAGGCGCGCCGCTCACTCCCGACGGCGCTCAGACCTTTGGAGGGAGAGCGGGTTTGAATTATTTGTGGTGAAAAGCCGAAAGCCAGAGGCCACTTCTTTCCCAATAAAGAAAATCGAACGAGGTCAAAGAAACGAAGAGGGGCCCCTAAAATCACAGTAAGGGTGGGGCAGGTCACACGTCCCCACACAAGGGGGACAGGAAACAGGCCCCTCGCGGTGGCCCTCGGAGAGTCGGAAGCCAGTGACACTGGTCGCTCCGGGCTGTTGCTCAGGCCTGACTCTCGGAGGGCAGGGAGCACCTACCGTGTGACCCGCACTGCTCGCCCTGGGCTCCAGCTGGGGGCGGGGGAAGCTCGCCGTCCCCACGGCCTCTCTCATGGCCCCAGGCAGCCTAGACGGCACCGCGAGGTGCGTCCAGGGTTGACCGGCCAGGAGTCCAGGCGGGAGTGGCTTTGTAGAGCCCCACGGGAGCCGCGAGCTCGGTCAAGAACCTGAGTGCGCTGGGGAGAGGGTCCCCGAGTCCCAGGGAAACTCCAGCCCCGGTGACATGTGGGGTTCAGCCTGGGACCCCGTGTGCTGGGGACACAGCCAGGCTGTGCCCGGACTCCACCCCCAGTGAGATTTTGACCCCATAGTCTGTGACAATTTGCTGGGCGGTAATACTTAGTGGATACGACCACCTCTTTACTGCCTAGAGCCATGCGCACGTCAGGCGTGAGCCCCTCTTTACGAGAAGGAAACTGAGTCACGATGGAGAAGCGGGTGGATCAAGTGGCAGCCCACACTCCAGCACACCTCAGGCAGAGCACCCGCAGGCTGCCCGATGCACCCCGCAGACACAACGCGCCCAGACTCCAACACGTCCCTGTGGGGTGCTCCCGGTTAAGGGAGGAGGTGCAGGCTGTGTGTCGGGTCAAATAGGACAGCTCGCGGCTCAGGAAGCCGCGCTCGGAACTCAGCGCGGGTGGCCTCCCTCGGCCTCTCCGTCCCCGCCTGTCCCCCATGGAGCTCCCCCTCAGGGAGCTCAGGGATCTCGGGGCAGGGGAGGGGGCACCAAGTCTGTGCAAGTCCCCACCTACGACTTGTTCAATGTAGATCCGTTTATTCCCTGTTTAGAGGGAACAATGGCCTGCAGACCAGGAGATCATGTCCCTGTGATATAATGAGGAGGGGAAACGGGCCGTGGACTGATTTCCTGGCAGGCGGGGTGTTAACCACATTTCCCCGGCGGCTGGCCCCACGCCACCGCCACGTGGGGGCTCGTTAGGCTGCGCTGCCGCCCTGATCTCATTTGCTCCGACATCAGGAGGGGGTCTCCGCTCCTGAGCCCACACGCCCACAGGGCACAGGAAAAGACAGCCAGTCGGGATTTCATTACGAAGCAAACTGTCTGCCCACAAAATTACACTGAGCAAATCTGGGTTCTGGGCACGTACAGAGCTCCTGAGTCACAGCTGGCGACCAACGGTGGGCCAGGGACGCGGTGCCCAAATGGAACCGTCCCCGAGCGTACCACCGTCCCCAAGGGCACTCTGGGTCTCCATGTGCACCATCCATCCCGAGGTGTCCATCGGTCCTCGAGTGTCCCATCCATCCCCAAGTGCACTCTCGGTCCCCAAACGTCCCATCCGCCCCCAGGTCTGGAGCTGCCCTGTTCCTTAGGCAGGAGTGTTGGTCAAGATGACCAGTGATCCTAATCATTTCAGGGCAATGTGTCCCCACCCAGGCCAGCTCCGTATCCTCCCTAAAAGGCAGGGCTAGAGCCGTGTGGCCAGTTGAGGCGTTAGTGCTGGACATGCTGGCTGTTACGAGGAAAGTCCCCACCCGGAGGAGGCAGGTGCTGATGGCGTCTGCCAGGCCTGCCCGTGCTGGACATCGTAGGGAAGGAGCGAGTTGCCACCCATCAGCCAGTGTGTCTGCAGCCTCAGGGCTGTGAGGCAGGCCACCCCCACCCCCCGGCCACCCCTCAGCAAGGGTACCTACTGGGTGTGACAGCCAGTCCCAGGGCTGAGGTGCAGGCCTCTCCGGGGAGGCGGGGCTCCGTGAGGGTGTCCCGTCCGGCAGCTGAGAGGCTGTCTGTCTGCTCCTCTGGACGGGGGTGGCTTCCAGGGGCACCGACATCAGCCTCCTCCAGGACCACGGCCTCCCGGGAGGTGCCCTTCGCATGGGGTTCATCTGCAGGGGCCTGAGCACACGGGACCTGCCAACTGTGGGACCGTTTCCCAGGAGGGGCAGCTCCTGGCATGTGGGTCTCTCCAGTCCCGGTCTTGAGGGCTTGCAGACGTCATCCGACTCACCCAACACCAGACACCCACCTGCTCTGCCCCCGGCAGCTCAGTTCCCTTTAATGTCAGAAATTCGGGGCGGAAACCTTGAGTTCCCTACTCTGTCACATGTCCAGGGAAGCTGAAGCTCCCGGTACCTTGGGCGCCTCATCAAACAAGGAAGCTGAAGCCCATCTGACAGCCTGGGGGTCCCCGACCCACCCAGAGGCCGCACCCTTGAGGACACAGATGGGGAAGTTAGTTTTTTGGGGAGGGTGCGTTTTTCTAACTGTGTGCACCCGCATACTCCTGGGAGGCCAGGAGGGTAAGGGCGAGCGTGGCCAGGGCTCCCGGGCGCCCCGGCTGCACCCCACCCGTCTCCCTGCCCTTCCTCAGGCCGGCAGAGGGTTCTCTCTGCTGTGCCACCGTCCCCGAGGGAACAAGGTGACGAGGGCTTCGGGAAGCCACGTGCCCCTCCTTCCCAGTGGAGGGGCAGGAAGGAAGCAGTCCTCGGGCCCGGAGGCCACGGGAAATGGAGACGGCAGTGGCTGGTCCTGTGGCCGGAGCAGGACCTGGGGCCCAGACACCTGTGGGGGGCAGCTGCCGGCCCTGCCGTGCCCTCCTGCAGCGCGGCCCACTGAGCCGCCTGCGCAGGCGCGTCGCTGCCCCCGCTCTGGCCTGGTACCGCCAGACGGATGCCGTCAGGCCCGGGATCCAGGGCAGAAGCCTTTCCTCGGGCCCTCCCAAGTCACGGGGTCTCTGCCTTACTTCTGGGACAAGCAGCCAGCCCAAGTGCCCGGGCCCCCTCGTCTGTCCAGACTTAGACCCCACCCTGCACGCCCCTTCCCCAAGCTGCCAGCCCAGCTTCCGGGTCCTGGGCCCCCTCCCCACTCTCCCCTGGCCTGTGATGGGCTGCCCCCGTTCCTTCCCAGGGCGCCGACCCCCACCTGGGGCTTGCGTATCTGAGTGCCCGGGAAGGACGGGGGCGGAAGCGAGAGCCCACCGACCTGCAGGCTGGCTGTGGCCATCGGGTCTGGGGGCAGAGACGGGGGGTGACCGCAGGACCGAGTCGAGTCGTCGGAGTCGGCCTCAAAGTCCAAGTCGTGAATGGAGAGGCGCTTCTTCTGAGCAGGTGCGGACGTGGGCAAGAAGATGAGGGTCAGGGTCAGCCTGGCAGAGAGGACCGGGGCCCTCGGCCTGCACGGGCGTGTCCACCCCCCACACAAGAAACAAACCCAAAGGAGCTCCACGCCCGCAGCAAGGGGCCCGCAGACCCCACCCTCCCAACTCCTGCAAGGCCTCCCAGGGGAGCAGAAGGGGAATCGAGCACTGAAGTGCTGCAGCCACAGGCGCCACGGCTTAGCGTGGGGGGTGGGCAGGCCGTCTGCTCGAGGGCTGACAGGCGCCTCTCTCCCTTGGGAGTGTCGGGGGCTTCAGACAAATGAGAGGCACCGCCGTGGGGGTGCAGAGGAGAGGGAGGGCTCCAGGTTTGCAGATGAAGGGCATGCATCTACTGAAATCCTCCCTCATGATGACCTTGATTCTTTAGAGGTACTGTATAGGGAATATTCCAGACTGGCGGGCACTCTTTATGCTCAGGAAGTGGCAGCCCTACAGCGTTCTCCCCGTAGACTGGCCAGACCGGTCGGTGTCCAATCCCAAGGACCATGGCCCCTCCCCGTGGCTCCATCCCTGTCTCGCTGCCCCAACCTGCTTCCCTTCCATCACCCCACCCAGATGCTCATCTATCGCTAATGTAACTTAAAAATAAGTTTCTTTTCTGAAGCGAGACAAACACCAATAAAAGCAAGGCTCACGGCTGGCCGTAAAGAAAAGCACAAATGTTCACAGAGGGAAGTCTAAAGGGGCCTCACTTCCCTCAGAGGCGAGGGCCGCCTTGGGAGACACCAGCGCGCCCTCTGGGACCCGGCCTTCGCTGACAACCGCACGTGTGACCCCGGGACCCCGACCAACGGGCCGGGCAGGCTTCGCTGCTGGCTCTGCCCACCCCACGCCGGCTCCGGGGCCCCTGCTGGTGAGAGCACATGGTGAAAGCATGCGATTTGGTGCCCAGTGTCTCAGAGACTGGTGGGCATGGCAACGGGGGCGGGCTCTTGGAGCCCCTGCTGTGGTGGAGAGCGTGGTCAGCAAATCAGAACCCAAGGCTCCAGGTGTGGGAGGGGTGCGGGGGAGTTGGGGAAGGCTTACTTTGCTCCCAAGGGGCTGGGCCTGGGCCACTGTGTCTGGCTCTCCATCTTCTTCTGTCTGCTCACTGTCTCCACTTCCTTCTCCAGGGCTTGGCTCGGGCCCACCTGCAGCGGATACCTGCATGAGTCCCCCCAGGGAGGGAATGATGGGGGCACCCCATCTGTCCGCCCACTTGCCTTCCCACCCATCCACCCGCCTGCTCACCTCCCCGTCCACCCACCAACCACCTCCCCCTCCATCCGTCCCTCCTGCCCATCTACCAACCATCTACACACCCATCCATCCACCTCTCTACCACCTGTCCATCCATCTACCATCACCTATATGTACCACCCACCAAACTGCCACCCATCCGTCCATCCCACCCACCTACAACCCACCCACCTACCTACCACTCATCCATCTACCATCCATCCATCCACCCACCCACCGTGACACTTCCAGGTGAGGCCGTCTGCTGGCCTTACAAAGACCTAGGCAAGCATCAGTTAGAACCAGTCTGAATCCCAACAGAAAGCTCTTACTCTGCATCAGTTTTGTCGAGAGTCACCCCTATGGGCATTCACCCTCCATTCATCGATTCCCTCTTGGGTAATCGGAATCACTGGCCTTTGTGGTGGGTGAAGAGGCCCCCAGCTAAGTCATGTTTCCTCAGATGGGCCACTTCACCCATCTGCTTGTCTGAAGGTGTCAGACACAGCTGGGACAGAGGTGAGCCTCGGGCCGGGGCTCCCACCCTTCCTCTGTCCGCCAGTCCCCCTTCCTCACCTGAGCACCCAGGGTGGCCCCCCGTCACGGCCTCTCCCCTCTCTTCTCCCGATCACCCCGGCCTGGCCCGTGCTGTGCTCCTCTAGGTCATCAGAGAGGGATCCAGGGATGGGCTCTGGGGCTCCAGAGTGTGGACCGCCCGCTGTCTCTCGGGGCCATGCGGGCCAGCACGTGCTGCCCTGCACACCCCCGACCCCGTGTGCCCCGGCCCTCAGCCCCTGGGCCTTGGGGTGGGGAGAGGCCTCAAGCACAAGCAAGTAGGGCATTTCATATATCTGCAAGCACCCTGCAAGCCTTCTCTGCCCACCAGACTCAGACCCCTGCAGCCCGCAGCCCGGGCAGTCATTTCCAATGCTCTGCACAGTGACCGTCTTGAGGAAACGCACTCCAAACTGCCCGACAGAAGACCGCGGGATGAACTCTATTCGTACTATGCGAATGTAGAAGTGGTTCCCGGAGGCCCAGGTGTGTGCGTGTGTGTGTGTGTGTGTGTGCATGTGTGACCTGGTGCCCCCCCCCCCCCCCCCGCCCCGACTGAATATGAACAGGGTCTCTGTGACCTTGTTACCGCCTCCTCCCATCTCCCTCCACCTGGGCCAAGGGTCTGAGCGACATGAACCCATCTCTGGAGATCAAGTCATTCTCAATGAGACCCAAAGGATTTTCCATGCTCCTGACAGGGAAGAGATTCCTCGAAGGCCCTTGATGGGGGGGATGGGGTGGAAACAAAAGCAAAGCCATGTGCGCTCGGGGGACTTACTGTGGATGTCCGGTGCGCCACGTGCTCTGTCAGGCAAACCTGTAACCAAGGGAAAGGCTCTGAGGCAAACAGAATCCCCGAGACGGCGTGCTTACGGACGGGGTCTGCTCTCACCTCCTTCCTGGCCCGGGACCGTCCCCGCAGCGCATACCCATGCCGGGGGGAAGTGGGGGACTCGGGAAAACACCCCCACTGCTCTGCAGGTCACGGGGGGAAGACCCCCAGCGCCCCCCCAGCTCACCAATCAGAATAGACCCGTTCACTTCAATCATTTCTACTGTTTTCAGTTTGGCCACTTAATAAAAACAAACACACAACAACCTTCCTCCCCTGCACCTTCTCTCACTCCGTGTGTTGGGTCCCCAGGCGCCCAGCAGGGAGAACACAGCCTGGGTGGCCCTCCGGGGACCTGAGCCCCCCCCATCGCTGGCCGCCTCCCCTGCCGGCGCAGCCGCTGGGGCCAGTGTTCCCATTGCCCAGCAGCGCCACCTGGTGGCCCTCGGCGGTGACTGCTTTGAAACCCGCAGGTTCCGGGTGGTGGCAGCTGCTGCAGCCAATGGAATACCCAGAACCTTCTATACAACCCAGGTTCCTGAGTCCACCTGGCCCTGACATCTGCACCTCCCGGGGTAAGGCCGGGTCCTCAGGGCTCCTAATGTGGCGGCCTGTGGTTTCCTCTGTGAGCGGGGCCACCTCTGGGCTTGCGATTTTCAAACGGTTTGCAGCGAGTGTGGCCCTGCTCCCAGTGGGTCTCACCCTTGAGCCCCGCGAAGGCACCAGACTAACTCCCCTCGGCTGCAGGAGGGCCCCTGGGCGGCTCCTGGCCGGCCAAGTGGGCGTGGGGCCGTGGGCTTCAGTGACGGGCTCCAGCCTGGGACAGAGATACCGCCTCGAAGAAGCAGCGGGAGGGCAGGGGGGATGGGGAAGAGCCTCTGGGAATCAGGTAACAGCACCTCCTGGCCACATCTGTCGTCTCAGCATAGTTATCAGGAAAGCCTCCTTTTACTCTTGACTGTTCTTATTTGGATGATGTATCAGATTCCTCCCCCAGAAGCACCCTCCCCCCACGCGCCACTGCTCCAGGTGCTACAAGCCATCACTGGCGACGGTGCCTCTGAGTGGCCCCTGTCCTAAATTCAAGAATGTGCTCAGATGCCAAGAAACACCTGCATCAGGCCCAGCGGATGCTCGCGTGCTCTGGGGTGGCTGGGCCCAACTTCAGGTCCTGCCTGCCAGCGCGAGGCTCTATGGGACACGGATGCAAGTAAGACCTCTCCCCAGAAGGCCCGGGGCGGGGGCGACCCCCGGGCTAGGACGTGGTGCGGACACTCCAATCCAAGCAGCGGGGCCCCTGCTCCTGACGTGCGGGGTCTCCCGCCCCCAGGGCGCTTGCCTCGGTCCTCCTGATGGAGGGAGTCAAGACGCCCGGCCCCACGCGCTGGCCTGGTGAGCCCTCCCGGCCTGAAGGCCTGGCCAGGCCTAACGCCAGAGCCTGGGATTCAAGTGACCGCGACAGGGCACGTGCTCCCTGCGAACTCTGCTCAATGATCTCCGCTCAGATTCAACTTCCAACTTCATCCTTCCCCTGAAATGATCTTCCTTTCCAAATGCCGTAAAGGTGGACAAGACAGGTGAACACTCAGTTGGTGTAAGATCACAGTACGGATTTCAAGCTCCTTATGAAACAAACACTTGGATTCAAAATATTAAAACACACGATTGAATTAGAATTAACTTTTTTAAGTCTTGATAAATGTCAGACTCACAAGGAATGTGTGTGTTACAACAGAGAGAGTTGAGGCTCCACAATCAGATGCCCAGAGAGGAAGGGTCTGGAGAAAACAAGTGCCCGATTATTTGATGAGCCACTGAGGTGCAGAATCTTTGGCTTTGAGTTCTCAGCCTGCTAGGAAGCACTGGGAAAATATGATTTCAAAGAGCGGGGTGTCGACGGCATGCAGGACTTCCCAGGGGGCCCGGCCAGGGGGTGCGGAAGTCCACACCACACGAGAAACAGCCAATTCCATATAAAATACCCGAAACGGACTGACCGGTGCACACACACATTCCGAAGAACCTGCTGGGTCCTGAAACGCTCGAATACGCCTGGGAAGGAGAAGAGGCCCCGGAGAGAGGCGTGCTCCTCACCTCCGTCCTGCAGCCGCCCGCACAGGGACCGGATCACTTTGGCACTCCCGAACCGCTTGAAGCGGGCTTTCAGGTGCCCGTAGTACCACTCCAGCGAGCCCATCTTCACCACCCTGCGGACACGCGGAGCTCAGGCCCAGGTACTGCCCAGCCCTCCCCGGCCAGCCCCGCCGAGGGGACGCGTGGGGCCCTGACACCCACGGGGTCACCCGGACCCTGGGCACCCCCTCCCCCCACCCCGGCTCACCTGGCCGTGTGGCAGGGGTCGCAGAGCCAGCCCTCCTCCTCCGGGTGGGCGTGGCTACAGTCCTGGCAGGCGAAGAGGCGGCAGTCCAGGCACTGCCTTCTAGGGGTCCCGAGGAGCCCGTAGGGCTGCAGGCAGCGGGCGCAGTGGGTCTCATTCAGGTGGGCCGCGTCTGCCAGCAGCTCCCTCTGGGAGCTCTCCTTCCTCATCCTGCCCTTCAGCCCCCTGAGGGAAGGATCAGAGACAAGAACTGTATTAGACACTGTTTTTGCAACGGGTTTGCACACATGTGTGTAAACACACACACACAGGAACTTGCTCATATGCAGAGGAAAGGGACCCAAAGTCGGGGAAAGGCGCCCACCGGCGGCCCCTACTCTGCCGTGGTCGCTCCACGCTCCCACTCTCTCCCCGGGGGGAGCCCAGTAGGTTGGGTTCACACGTGTGCAGTCTGAGAGGTTGGACTTGAAACACCTGATTTTTACAGGACAGAAACTGCATGTAAACATGGTGTGACTGTTCACAACGGTACAACTTTCCAGGCTGCATATCCACGACTTCCATCCATGGGTGGAAGAGAGCCGTGAACTATAAAGGCTCAGCATCACAGGCCGGGACAGCTGTCACCTGCCTCCACACAATTTGTACCGGAAAGAAGACGACAGAGGCCCTGAACTCCAGCTTTGGCCCGGGGCCCGCGGAGCCTGGAGATTTTCTGCTGCCTGGTGCTGAGCTCAGAGACTGTGCTCAGCACCCTGCTTCGCCGGATGAGGGTGGGCCTGCAGCCATTCGCACCGGCAGCCCAACCTTCCTCGGAGCGGGGAGGTTGGTGGCTCTGGGGAGCCCTGGGAGTGAGCCTGGTCAGGCCACATGGTTACTTAGAACCAATCTGTCGCACAGTCTAAGAGGAGGCCAGAGAAGAGATAAAACTCCAAGTGGTTCACAGTGGGGTGAAGCTGCAGAGACGACACAGAAGGAAGGCCCAGATCCAGCCCATCGAGCGGGCGAGGCTGGTGCTCCTCCCTGTGAGGGCCTGGCGGTCACACCAGCTCCGCACGCCGGCCTGAGCTGAGGCCCTGCACAGAAGACACCACCAGGTAAGTGGGGTTGGGCGGTCACCCTACTGAGAAAGTGACAGGTCACTGAACTCTCCTGAGGAGGTCACACAGGGCTCGGGGGGGCGAAGCCGGGAGGGGCCCCTCGCAAGAGTTTTGGGTGTGTCTTCCAGCAGGGAAGCAAGCTGAGCCCACAGAGCAAGGCTGCGTGGCCTGGCCTGCAGTGTCCGGCGCGGGGACTGTCCAGCACCAGTGTCCTGGAAAAGCCACGGTTCTCCCGGATCTTTCTGGTGAGCTCCAAGCTGAACGGACTGGAAAAGGTACGCGTTCCTTTCCGGATTTCAGAGAATGTTTGCCACATGCAATATTTTTAGCTTCAGATGCGATCAAACGGATCCATTCTTAGTGACGAAAATCACACAGAGCCTGGGTGCCGCGGCCTCGCGAGAACCCTGCACCCGCGGTTTCTGGTGGGGTCACCCGGAGCGCGGCGGGGGCGAGGACGAGGCAGCCGTGCTGAGAGGCCCTGGGCACTACTTCCCGTTTTAAGTGACGCTGACCGCACTTCAGCGATTTCCCTCTCTCCACTCTCCATTCAAACACTCCGGAAGACAGACACACGCACAGAACTCTCGACTCCGCTCTGAAAACCAAGAGAGAATGGCCGAGTGCTGGTGGCACCCAGGGCGAGAGCTGTCATCCACTGACCACGGTCTAGATAAACCTGCACCGACAAGGTAGGCTTTGCCTCACACCAACTAGTACAGAGACCTGGAGCCAGGAAGGGAGGGCCTGCCTCCCTCCATTTCCACTGGGGCTATATCTGCATCAGGCAGAAAGATCTAGAAGCCACCCTTTCTCCTCTCTCCCATTGCTTGCCCCCATTCTCTATTCAGGCAGAACTACCCCCCAGCACGGCAGGAAGAAAGTCAAGGACATGCCAGGCACACTGCATCCCGGGACGTGAAGTCCCCTGAAATAAGAGCTGCAGGGGTGGTGGCTGGACACTGACATACTTCAGGTGCCAGCTGTGGGGAAGGGATCATTATACTCTGCTTCAGATTCTTGAAAACATAACTTCTCTTTTGTATAGCTGGCTAGCAGGGGAGGGGGGAAGAGGAGGGCCCGTGCTGGTCCCGCACGGGGACACCGGCCGATGCCCGCCAGCTGCAAGGCAATCATCTCCACCCGGAGCCGCACAGGGAGCCGGTGAGCGGGGCCGGAGAAAGGCACATGGGGTGCTTATGGCAAACACCGGGTCGACCAGATGTCACTCCGCTGTGGGTGTGTCGGCAGACACAGTCTAAGTCACCGTCAGGAAGAACAGACACCCTGAAGGTGACTGTCAGGAACAGAAGAAGACTTGAAACCAGGCTGAGACGGAAAGACCGCAGGCTATGATCACTGAGGAGGAGAAGAGATGGCCAAAATAAAGACGGGAAGGAATGAAAGTTGACAGCGGGGAGGAAGACGGGCAGAATCACCAGCGGGGCACACCGAGTCCGAGGATCTACATCAGTGGTTCTCAAGGTGGGGCCCAGGACCCTCTGGGGGTTTTTGAGACCCTTTAAGAGGGACCCGAGGTCAAAATTATTTTAGCAACGATGCTGAAGTGTTACCCCTCTCGTTGGCCCCTTGACGCAGCTAGGACCTCGGCATGAGTCCCGGCAGAGGGACAAACGACACATTCCAGTCTTGGTCACAGAAGTAAAGAAGAGCAGGTCTTGGATGAAGTGTGTCCTGATTAAAGGCTTGTCCTCGGCGCTACAATAACAGGTATTCGTCTTATCACACCTTGGCCTTTGAGCACGTGTCTCCTTACTATTCTGCATGAAGAAATGAGAAGGACACACAGAAAGCATTTCCGCTACATCCCGAAGCACCACCAGGGTCCCGATGAGAAGAAGCAGGCACTTGCCGGACTTCCAACAGGAACTTGATTTTTTTTTCATGGGACCTCACTTTTACTGAAAAGAACAACTGAAAGACAAAGTATTCTGACTTGGGCGTTTGCCAGACATTTTCTTAAGAATGAACAAAGGGAGGGTCGCCTGGGTGGCTCAGTCGTTTAAGCGTCCGACTTCGACGCAGGTCATGATCTCACAGTTCGTGGGTTCGAGCCCCGCGTCGGGCTCTGTGCTGACAGCTCAGAGCCTGGAGCCTGTTTCAGATTCTGTGTCTCTCTCTCTCTCTCTGACCTTCCCCTGCTCTCTCTCTCTCTCTTAGAAATAAATAAAAACATTTTTAAAAATTAAAAAAAAAAAAAGAATGAACAAAGGGAGCCCGTCACCTCAAGGAAAACAAATGCCAGTATTTGTGGCCAATGACAAAATTCAAGCTTTCAAACACAAAGAAGGATCTTGGGAGATTTATGTCTGCTGCTGTGAGCTTCATGGTGTCCAACGCTTATGTTTTTTAAGAGATTGTTGATGAGGTCAGTGGTGACAGGAATCAATGTGACTTTTTGGGTATATAATGAAATGTGTCACCATTTAGAAGCTGCATTTGGTGTGACAAAACTATATATGGATAAAAGATTCACTTTGAGTGTAAGACAGATCTATGGATTTTAACATAACAGGGAAAGAGAAGTCCACTCATACGGTTTCAGATTCCACCGTGCAACCTAGTTTAAGAAATTATCAGTTGTGAGGCTCCTGTGTGGGTCATCTGGCTAAGTGTCCGACTTCGGCTCAGGTTAGTGGGTTAGTGGGTTCGAGCCCTGCATCAGGCTCTGTGCTGACAGCTCAGAGCCTGGAGCCTGTTTCAAATTCTGTGTCTCCCACTCTCTCTGCTCCTCTGCTATTCTTGCTCTCTCTCTTTCAAAAAAAAATAAACATTAAAAAAATTAAAAAAAATACTAATTGTTGGGTTTCCATGTAGTATCAAAACACAATGTTCATAATCACCTGGTTATTGAAACACCCCTCTTCTTTCAGCTATACATTTGGAGGAGGCTAGATTTCCTTCAAACTCCTCAGCCAACACAACACACTACAACACACTGAAAGCAAGCAGATACGAGAATTCGCCCATCTCCTCTCACGCCAGACACTGAAGGGATTTCCAGAAACATGGAGCACTCCAGACTTCTCATTTGTCTTGGGAAAAGTTATTTTACATAAAAAAGTGGTATTTATGTTAACACATAAGGCCTTTCCTGTTTTTATTTAAGCGAATGAATATTTTTTTAAATGCCTGGTTTTAATTTCTGATAGGGTAAATATTGACATGTATAACCCACATGAACATAAGCCCTTTGGGGTTTCTCAATAATTTAAGAATGTAAAGGGACCCTGAGGCCAAAATGCTTGAGAAGGGCTGGCTCTGAAGCAAGTTTGCTGCCCCAGACGCAGAGAAAAGGGCTAAAGGGATGAGAACGAGGAAGAGGAGGGCAGCGGTGGAACGAGGAGACGGGCGGGGGAGCGGCGTAGCAGAGGGGCGTCCCTGGGGCCAGAAGCCACAGCTCTGCGCTCTGCCAGCCAACCTCCAGCCCACCCTGAGGCACCAACGTCAAGAGTCCTGACTGGTGGACACGAAGCAGAGTGAAGGAGAGGTGCCCGCTGTCCACAAGCCAGGCTAAGGGTCCTCTGGGGACAAGGCGGGGGGCGGGGGGTGTCTGGTGCAAGGAAAGCCCTTTCAAGACAGGACAGGGAAGGGAAGTCCCCTCAGAGCAATGACCGGGCGTGGAAGGGAGAAGGGCTGAAAGCGACGTGAAGAGGTCAGAACCACCTGTCTTTGCTCTCCCCCGTGCAGCGGGGAGTCCGGAGGGGAGCACGTGAAAACGTGTGAGTACTGGGGACAGCCCAGGACCCAGGGGCTGGTGATGCACCCTCCGGGTGTGCTAGGGAGGAGCACGCTGTGGCCACAGCACCAAGGTCCCTCAGCAGCCACTGAAAGAGGGATGGGCTCGGACCAGTGCTCCGCTCTCTGCCTCTTGGGCTGGGCGGTCCTCAGCCTGGGTCCCTGCAGGGCAGCATGAGGTGCTGAGGGACCAGGGGACTGGCAGTCTCAGGGTTGGGGCGAAGAGGCCACAGCAAGTGAGGTTGATGGCTGGGATCAGGGATCTCTGCGGTGGGTGCCCCACGCCAGGACAATTCATACACGCGTGATGGTCCTGATCCTGGAAGCGGACCTGACCCTCCACTCCGTCTTGGGGACCAGCAAGGA